AAAATTCAATAATAAAGATCTAAAGTGTTTTAAGGAAGATACATTTATATAAATAAAATAAAAATAATAATTTAATTAATTAAAAAGAATAAAATGTTTTGAAATTTAAAAAAAAAAATACTAATTGATTCATTACATATTCTACACCGGAAGAAAGGGTCAGTTTTCAAAATCCTGAATTCCCATTTCTTTGCAGTTAAGTAAATATTAAATGTTTAGAACGTTATAACTCTGCACTAAATAGTCCGATTTCGATGATTATTTATTTACGTTTTGTAGGGAATTTATTAAAATTTTAAATACTCATGTGTTTAATAAACCAAAAATTGCGTACTTTTGGAGTTATTTGCAGATTACGAATTCATTTGTAACGTCAAGATTCTTTGAGATGGTACCATCATATGGCTTTAAATCACCCACTCTTACATTCACTTTTATTTAAGTCCTGGTATAAAATTAGGAATACAAATTTATAAAACGCACTTTACGTGGTATTCCCATTATAATTGATACATCACTTGTCAAAATCCATCTCTCTTGAGAGCCGGAAAAGTGGTATACATTTGAGAAATAATATATGAGGTAATTATTTAAGAAAAATTGTGGGACTATTTCTATAGTTTTAACATACGTTATTGCCGTTATGCAACATCTGCGACTGACGCAATGAAAATTCGATGTTTGCAAATATCAGCTAATTTTTTTTTTTTTTTTAATCTTATTTATTGAAAAATATTACAATCTGTCTCCAGGACAAGCTAATTTTTAATGTTCTAATTTAAAGTCATTAAAAAGTTATGAAAGGTCATCTAAAATACATCTTTATAACTTTCAACAAAGTTGTTTAGGGTATAAAACTTGTTATTCAGTTATTGAAAGCAAAAAAGAATATATATATATATATATATATATATATATATATATATATATATATATATATATATATATATATATCCTTTTTTGCTTATATATATATATATATATAATAATAATAATAAGGCTTAGCGAACCCGAAGGTTCGATGCCGACACCACCAATCGCTTGTTACACACCTCCCTCCACCGTTCGCCGTCCAAACCCAGTCCCTTCAGATCGGCTTTAATGCAATCTTCCCACCTTCGCTTCGGTCTACCCCTCGGGCTCTTACCATTCGGCATAGCAAATGGTAAGCGCCCTTTTAGGAATTCTCTCGTTACTAAGCCCAACAACTTTACATATATATATATATATATATATAAATATATATATATATATATATATATATATATATATATATATATATATATATATATATATATATATATATATATATATATATATATATATATATATAAACGCCTTATATATATTAGTTGCGGAAGATTACATCAAGAACACCTTTCTGTTTCTTTCACACCTTCATCGGGTGTGATACATTTCTATTATTAAGATCAGATGAAAAACGTCTGGAATAGCTTTCGGCTTAAAAATATATTTTTAAAATTTATTGATTGTTCAGCTGTTCGTGAATTCGAATATCTAGGCAAGAGAAATTACAGAACCAGAGAAACAGTTTTATTCCTTTTAGAAGCCGGTGAATATCATTTAATCCCATTAAGTGTACATTTGTTTGAATCACTGATAAAAACCAATTTCTATTTGATTCTTCTGCTGAAAGGTCTGACAAATTCCGAAAAATCTATTAAATTGTTGAAAGATAAGCACTAGCTTTGGCTTTGTTGAAATGAACACGAGGATGAGATGGAATGTATGTATCTTGCTGAAGGCAATACTAAGTAGATGCACTAGCGATTGCAATGCACCGTGCATCTGTAGGAATGTTACAAAATAGAGGTATGGGGCACTGCGAAAAATCTGACATATACAAAATTCAAACTGTCGAATCAAAAGTATTAAAAAATAGCAGACTCGCCCTTTTATGTTTTTTTTTTTTTTTTTTTTTTTTTTGTTCTGCTCTCTCTGGCCTTTCAGCCTTACGAGTTTTTTCCATGTCCGAGGGAAAGGGCGAAGGAATTATGCCGAGTCAAAAGTCCCACCGGGTACCGGGATTTGAACTAGTAATACTTTTCCATCTTAATTCGGTTATCAGGTTGCCGTGGGAACGCGGTTTGCAGTGCACATGCGTTAGTTCACTCGGCCACCCCGCCCCGTGTTACACAAGTACTTGTAACTCCCAATGGTTGTAGATACTGCAACACAGTACTATGAAAACTTACACCTGAGACTTGACTCAAAACATTAATGGGTTCATGTTCGTGCCCGAACAATTAATTCATACACGCCACACCGACTTTTAAGTTGGTGGTCAAGAGACTTTCTAACTTAACCTCTTCCCGGAAGAGTACTGATTTTCTTATTGGTTAATGCAAAAAAAAAAACTTTGCAGCTAGCGAATTTCAACCATAACAGATTTACATATTTATGTTGATAAATAAATTAATTATTTTTGCCAAGCTTTCCGTTAGTAATACTTCTTAATATTCATATGTTGCTCTAGTAATTATTGTATTATATTAAAAACCATTTTTTTTTTCAGAGTAGAAAAATTTACCGGTTTGAATTTCAAAAATATTTGCTTCCATCAGTCTATCAAAATTAATTAAGACTTTAATATATGATTTCAATTAATTTAAACTCACATTGTCCTCTTCAAAGAAAAAAATATATATCTCCTATTATGAAATATTTCCTCTAATTTCCACAAATGTACAAATTAAGCACATATATATATTAAGGCCTTGAACATATGTCTATATTTAAAATGTGTGTTATAACATATGTAAATTTATTTATTGTTGAACATAATGATTCTTCTGTTTACATTGTTTGTATTTATATATTTTATCAGAATTCGAAAATTAAATTAATTTTTTTATTGAGATATTACAATCTGTCATATTCAAGGGCAGTAGTAATAGTGATATAGAGTAGCTCATTCATGACTATGCACAATAAATAAAAATCATAAACGGAAATATAATAACACTAAAGTAAATGTATAAAATTAAATAAAGAAATCAATTTTTAACACTCATAATAATGTATATATTTTTACTTTATATTTTTAATGTCGATAGATTTTATTTTTATAGCTATTTTAGACGAATTGTTTGAGGGCATGTTTATAATTGACATGTACTGGAAATATAACACTCTGATGAAACTTGATACAGTATTTTGCATCGAAAAAATATTAACTTTTTACTTGATTCACCTTCGTGCACACAAATTTTAAAATTGTTTCACTCACTTGTATTTGAAATTGATTTTATATTAATATTATTACGTTATATATTAAAAACTGATTGAAAAATGCCAACAAATTAAGCCTACCGACATCTCAATGTTAGGCAATATTTTAATAACATTTAGAACATTACTGTATTTAAAGTTCTAAATGCTTTAAAATAAAACCATTATAATTCTTTCCATATGAAATCTCTGTCATATGAATTGACGATTGCCATCATCTGTTTTTTTTTTTAACACATCTTATGACTTAATTGAATTAAACTTATGCTAGTGTTACTTGTTTACATATAGTAATTAATAGATGATTGTTTATTTTATTAAATTATAGATAATGTTTCATAATTTTAACATGAATATTTTAACACATATTTCTCTAATACAGTTACCTTATTGGTAAGTTAAGTTGATTATTTTAATATGTATATATTTTTTTTTAATTATTAACAAGTGGAGAGCGCCCCTTAAGATGGATCGACCCATATACCCATATTCTAATTCCTATCCCAAAAACAGTCAGATAGTTGCTAAGCTTTTGATATTATACATTTCTATTATATCATTCATCATCAAATGGTAGTACTATTCAATACTGTAAACTTCTCTAGGGATATTGCAGTATCTTCCTACTCTTAATGCCACTTAATACGACTATTGTTTGATTTTTTATTATTTTTTATTCTTGTACATTTAAATCTGTACCTATAGGTGCAATAAGATAATGATTTGTTTACATATTATCCATTATTTAAATACTCGCGACATTTTATATTGTCAGATTCGTCTTTCCTTTCACAGCTTATTTTAAAGAATAACTCAATATTTTTTTTTCTAAAAAGTGTATAATAATAATTTTTCCTACTGTACATAGCTTTAAGTGTTTTGTATATAGGTTTATTTATTTTTTTGTTTTGTATATACCTTGTTTAACTAATAATTTCTTTACTTTTTCTTTTTTTGTTATTGTTTTATTTAGATGTAGTCCTTTAATTCTGTACTATTTTTTTTTAACGTAAAGGGACTTTGACCTAGAATAAAGTTATTTTCTATTTCTATTTATTTCTAATCGGTTAGAAATTTGTAAATATCAAATAATTTCAACAGACTGAAGCAGCGAGATGAGTACAAATATTTTTTTAAGGAGAAACAGAGTTGAGATTTGTATTTCCTATCTCTAAACACTCCCGAATACAAATTTTGATAGAAGTCGAAAAATGTTTTTTGCACCCAATTGGAATCAAGATTCTCCTCCCTTGGATTTTTCATCGTATTCGGACCATAATTAGCTGAGATACAGGATGTAATTCGTAAAAAAATGTATTTAAAGCACGAAGGAAGCTTCATAATATATATACACATATATATATATATATATTTTCCTTGACCGATTACAAATACCGAAAGAAAAAAAAAGGAAATGATAAAACTGATAAAAGCCTGTGTTGTTCTTGGGTAAAGTAAAGCTTTGAACAGTGTTATTTGGGTACAGATAACTATATTTTAACTGGTAATTAGAAGCCGTCCCCACTCCTTTATTCTTCCACTCCATTCATGTCCTCCCACTGTTTCACAGTTCGCACTTCTTTAACTGAGCTGGATATAGCTAGCATTAAAAACCATTGAAAATAGCCAGACTTTACAGCTAAAATTATTTTAAAAGGATATAGTTAAATCAATTAGATTTATAAAAGGGAGTATAAACGTTAGCCCTTTCCTAAAAATCCTTTTTAAATAATAATTATATTTATATCTTAATTAAAAAAGATAAAATAAAGTTTTATTTTCCGATTGACATAGCACTTGTCTTATTTTCCAATGGCTCAGGCTCTGAAGACGATAAATCTACGAGATCGTCGTTCATCATACCGGATACAACTACGTGAAGCATTTGATATTTTATCACTTTCATCATCGCTTTTTTTAATTTATCGTGAGCGACCTTTTCTTGTTTTATAAATTTATTATGCGGTTTTCTCTGCTTCATTGGCATTTCGTGTTCTTCCTCACGTTCTTTTATTTCCAGCAAAATAGGGCTTTTCAACAATGAATCAATAAGCCACTGAACAGAATCAAAAATTAATTGTGACATATTTCTTATAAATGCCATAATTAAGGCTTGATCTAATTTACCGTACACGGTAATACTATGATGAATTTTAAACATTCCTTTTACCATTTCTACGTATAACGAGTCATACGGAGTTGGAAAATCAGCTTTTCGAAATTCATCGTATAACGATTCGAGGTCATACAGTTTCATGAGCTCTTTAATTTTTTTCAAAACAAAAGTTTTGGTAGTTTCTTTTCTTTGTCCTTCTTCGAACCTTTTATCTGCCATTATTTTTTTTAGTTTCTTCGGAGGAATACCCATCCCTTCCAATAACTCCATTTTTTCAGTCACTTTTGTATGTTCTCTTTCTGGTGTTTCTCGCTTAGAGATATTCGGAATTTCTATATTTCCGAAATAAGTAGTAAGACCAGATAATATCTCGTTCACATCTAAATCAGGGTATGCTATTTGCGCCAATCTCGCAAAACGGATTGACACTTTTAATCTATCTTCATCTGTCCCTATGTTGCGTTTGTGGTACTTGTACTTGGGCTCGTAGTAATGGAATCTGTGTTTGAGGGCTGCACCTTCTCTAAGTGGATATTCTCTATTCAACCAGCTCTTGAGATGTCGATTGAGCATTTGAACAACCTGTTCCTTGCTAAGAGCTACCGGTTGACTTATAGTCGAGGAAGGATCATCATTAGGCTTATCGAAAGAGTGATTAAGAAATTCTTTAAACTCCCAAACCTCAGATTTTGGTTCAGATTTCAGATTTTCTTCTTTTTTTTTTAATTTTCTCGATTTTCTCATTTCCCTGTGGAATAATACCTTCCTCCATTTGATGATCCCCATCTCACTAGTGGTGAACAAATTATCTGCATCCAATTGATAAATTTCTTTCATACGTAATTTGTTCCTTATATTTAATTCCTCCCTATCTTCATCTTTAAATCTGTCAAGGTAACTCTGAATTATTTTATTTCCCGGCTTTGCCAATGTTTCCGTTTTTAAATCTTCTTCGTATTCAGACTGCGTGTTTTTCTGTATTTTCTGGTCAGACATCATCCTCTTTAAGCTACGAATGGTTTCCTTTTCTAAAAGCCATTCCTCAGGGGGATGTTTCTCCTCTTCCTCATTTTCTCTAATTTTATACTTTAAACTTTTCTCGTGTCGATAGAACATACTTGGTCTTCTATATTTGTATAATTTGAGTGACATCATCGTTTTCGATTGAATACATAACTCGAGCAATGTTTCGACTACATTAAGCATTACATTAAAAATATTTTTTATTTTTCTCTTTCGTTTTCTAACTCTAGTTACTGGTATTACTGACGTCATACTTTGAACTTTCTCCAATAAACTTGACTTTGACTCGACGAAACCTAAGGCGAAAATTCCTCCAGACATTCTGCGGTCAGTTGGTATATTATGCATTATATGGGTGTTAGCAAGGATATATCGTCTTTAAAACGGGGTCTCTATTTATTTAGATTAATTACCCACAAATCACAAATCGCATTCAACGGTAAAAATGTTTCCTTAACGAAGTTGAACATATGTTTAATAAATAAATATACAAATCAGTATTGTGTTCCATTTATCAATTGAACATTTATATTAACAATATGTATACGTTTTTGAAATGTTTACATGTGTAATCGAACTTTATATTGTACTTTATATCATTTTACTTTATATTATGTGAAGAATTCCGTAATTATATATTTTTGTTTTTTAAATCTTAATGCTTCATGGTACAGGTGTGGTTGAATTTGCGAAAATTGTGCACCGCTGTATCTCTGCTGATGCTTGTTCACGGAGTCCTACTTACCAGAAAACTGCATGTTGCCATCTCAATATGTGGTAGGTTTAGACTAGAGGTTGTGAAGGATAAGGCGATGTGGCACCCACTTATTTTCGTTGTACTATTAGATAGAACGAAATGGTTGCAAAGAACTCCCTCAATTTTTCTCATAAATTATTTGCTATGTTCATCAACTTTACTTTTTCCAGAATCGGAGAATACATTTATATTTCATATTGAGAGTCTGCTTTAAATTGCACGAAGAATTGACATGTAACATGAGTTACAAAGTTAAATAGAGAAATACACAAATTTAGTAAAATGCGTAGAGTACAGTATTTACATATTTTTTTTCATACAAGATGTGGCACACAATTTTTATGCATTTTTGACGCTAATTCGTACGTTGAACTTGGCGGTATTAGTTTTTGAAGTTGTCCAATTTCGTCCAATGGGCTCTTTGAATAGTTGATTTTGCCAAGCCAACTGCGGACTTTGTAGACTTAAATATATTTCTTTAAGTATTATGTGAATCTGCTTAAAGTTATTTGCATTTGAAATGGACTTTATTGCCAAAAGGCGACGACTCGGTTATTACATGGCTGTTATGTTAACCACCCTAAAATGACACAACCAATAAATTTAAACAGCTTTTGTTTTCTTTGTTTATGTTATTTATTGAACTCGTCCACTGTATTTTATGAATTAGGTCAGGAAGAGAGATGAGTTAATCTGAGGAGGAATAACAGAAATGTTTAAGGGGAGAAAACCAAACAAAAGGGATGTAGAAATATATATAAAAATAATATATATATTTATATATTATTATTATTATTTTTTACAGTTTCTTTCATTCATACTTAACAATCTACATCCCTTTTGTTTCGTTCTCTTCCCTTGAACATTTCTCTTATTCCTCCTCAGATGCTCTCATCTCTCTTCCATATATATATATATATATATATATATATATATATATATATATATAAATATTGTATACTATACCCTTTAATACTGTATGTTTGTATATTAGTTTAAAAAAAATTTCTAAAATGATTAATAAGAATGCTGTGTTTGTAGCAACCCTATATAATTGGGCAGCACCGTTTTATGAAAATAAATTGATTCTCTCTATCTAAGAAACAGCAAACTTTTGAGTATGCCATCATTAATACTAAAGGTGACAATTTTAATTTATTTTAACCATACAAATATAAATACCGGAATTTAAATAATAATAATAATAGCGATTGCAGATAATTTCAAAATATTATACATTCTGTTCCGTAACAAATAAAGTATAACATGGTCCGGTTTATGTCTGTGCTTTGTACTCTAAAAATGACTTCGTAATGCAATGTTTTTGTAATTAAATCATTGACATATATTTTAGAGACTAATTTTTACTGATGGTTTTATACCACGCCAATAATTTTTTTTTTATTTATGTTAAGAAAAAAAATTAAAATCTAATTGAAACAAAGATATTTATCTGCTAAGGGATACCCGCACTACTCGACACTCGATTTTGTTGCTTCGCTTTCTTGATATCTTTTTGACATAAAAAATACGAATGGTTCGAGGCCGATTTCGAGTTTCTAAATTCACAGGGATTAAACTAAAAATTATTGAAATAAATATTAGTAAAAAAGGTGGCTCACAAAAATATTGAGCCTTTTGTCGTATATAACCTCGTTATTTTGAAATTTTGGGGGTGTTGGTAACACCAAACGGCTCAATATTTTTGAAGGACAGCTTTTTTCTCGATTTTGTGATCAAATTATCTTACGATCCAAGTAGAAAGAAAATGTCTATTTATGAGTTTTTAGTAGCTAATTAAACTGACAACATTTTCCCCCCTCCAGATTGAAAATGCCCCAATTCCGAGAATTTTTGTAAATATTTATAGGTTACGATGAGATGATTTACGAAGTTTCAGCCGGATGTTAATAATTTCATTTAAAAAAAGGGTCTGTAACACGGACTATATGTTAGTGTTCTTCAATTTTTTTTTCCTCTTTTAACAGATTACTTTAAAGTATATATATATATATATATATATATATATATATATATTATGTGTCTCGTAGATTTGAAAAAAAAGTACAATATTCTACTATGCATAATGCAATGTATTTCTAAGGCATTTCAGGCACAACATTTCAACTCAGATGAGGTGTTAATTATTCTTGTATTAATACAGACCCAGATTGAAAAATAAAAATATGTTTTCCAAATCGGAAGAATAAAGTTGATGATTGTTTGGATTCGGGTAAATTTAAAATTGATGCCCTGTAAAAAACTCCCCCGCTCCGCTTACTTAATATAAAAAAAAATATAGGATAATATCAGCATTAAAACACGAATAATATGAGACCAAATTTGAGTCTAAATGCTCAATGGCCAAGAAATTAGACCAAGATCTTCACTTCGCGACATCCCCAATCCACCACATCCAGCATAAAGCTACCTCCTTCTATAGTGGCAACGTGCAAATTCTTTTAAAGTAAGATCTCCTTAACAAAAACTAGAAAGAAACAGATCTTTCCTTACTCATTCATACATCTATCTGCGTTTCGGCCTGTCTCTAGGACTAGTATTGTCGAAACGAGAGACCAAGACAAGACTTAGCCAGTCTTGGGCGTGGTCTTGATTCAACACACCTGGTCTTGGTTTTGGTCTTGGTCTGGCGCAAGAGTCTTGCAGTTAACTATTAGCTTTTTATTATTTATTAAACATGTTACTTTAGGTTAAAGAAAAACTTTACTGAATAGGTACATTTAGGCATAAACATGATATTGACATAAACATATATATATACTTTTTTTAAATGATATTTATTTCATAGATTTTTTACAGGTATAATATAATAGTATATAAATAAAAAAAAATCAATATTACACTATATACTGTATTATTTCTCTGGATTAATATAAAACAATTTATCTATATTTTCGCAGATAAACGCAAGGACTGAACTCGCCCTGCGCTACAACGATATTTCACCGTTAGAGAATCATCACTGTTCAATTGCATTTAGAATACTTGAACTGGATGAATCCAACATCTTCAAAAATTTGGACAAGGACACATATAAACATGTCCGTGAAGGTATAATCAGGTATGCTAATTTTCAAATTATTGTATCTTCATTAAGAAATATTTGTTTAAAGAAATATCAACTATGATTTATATCATATTTCTGTACCACAGTACCAGTATATCATAATTATTCAATTGAATATTTTCGGAGGCATGCGGGTTCAGTCTCTATCCTAGTCTACTCAATATTTGCGTCATGATGGTTACAATGAAATCACACTTGCTACTTAAGGACGATGACTACCTCGAAAGGAAGGAGAGAAGGTCATCCTGTATTGAGGAACTGATCTCCACTGGACCATTAAGAACTACTACCTTTGCTCAAGAATGTTTTTTTTCGGCTGGTTAGGTTAGATTTCAGAGCAATTTATAGACAACTCTCGTTTTCTTTACTGTCAACTTATCAGTTCATTTGGGCTTTGGATATTTTACTGTTTCTCCACAAATTGACTAAAATCTGAACGCTTGTGAATTCAGCAAAAATAATTTAAAAATAGTGCTTCAATTCGTCAAACTTACCCTTTTACATTTGGCATAATCGTTTTTCCGAGTCATGTTCGAAACACCATAGATAGTTTTCACTTCACAAACTCTCTAGTTGCAAACGCACCAAGGAAGTTCTTTCGAATTTACTCCAAAATCCATCATGTACATATTCCAAAATCAAGAAATGTTAGCCAAGTCTGTCTACTTCATGGAAGAATGTTGATTTGCGAATTAAAGTGATGTTACGGCAAATTTTTCACTAAAATCGTCTCACCGAAAATAGTACTTGAAGTGATCGAATTTATCGAATCCGAAGGTTCGATGCCGACACCACCAATCGCTTATTACATACCTCGCCGTCCAAACCCAGTTCCTTCAAATCGGCCTTGACGTAATCTTTCCACCTTAGCTTCTGTCTACCCCTCAGACGTTTACCAGTCGGCACAGCAAATATTAATTTTTTAGGAAATCTTTCATTACTAAGTCCAACAATTTTACAAGTCCATTTAATTCGCCGCGATTTAATCATTTCAATTATATTAACCGAATACAATTCACGCATTTCAGCATCCTTCATTGGTCCAAATATTCTACGCAATACTCTATTTTCAAAAGCCTTAAGACATTGCTCATCCCTTGATGTAAGCGACCACGTTTCGCATCCATAAAGAACCGTTGGTAGGATAATTTTGTAGATTTTAAATTATTCTCTATAGCGGCTCAAAGGATTACGAATAAATTCGTTTGATCAATGTGTAATAAAGTGTTTTTTAATATCAGGTAGGTCTTATTTTTATAGTTAATAGTTCGAAAGGGCTTAAATGTCGAAATAGGTTCACCTAAAAATCTCTCATGGTTAGTAGTAATAATAAATGGCTTGGGGGCGGGGTAGACGAATGGGCTAACGAGTATGCACAGCACCGCCGTTGCCCGGCAACCTGACAATTGATACTTGGATACAAATAGTCGCGAGTTCACGTCCCAGTGCCGGGGGTGTCTTTTAAATCCCCGCCCTCACCCCCTGGGCCGGGAAAACCCTTAAAGGCGAGGAAGGGGAGGATCGAAAAAAAAAAAAATGACTAAATGTAACACAAATATTAACTATGAAATAACTTGATAAACAAAGGAGAAAAAAAAATTCCAGAATTAAAATAACTCGCATGGGGAGGCTACGGACTT